TATTGCAATACTCACCCAGACCCATTATTCCCATTAATAAAAACGAATTTACTGTATTTAATTAGTGTAGATATACTCATTACATCATTACACAAAATCTGTTGGAGGTTTACTAATTGAGTCTTGGAGAATGGTTTATTTATAAGTTGAAATTGGGCTTTTAACTAGCTTACAGTAAGGTGAGCAATATTAGATCAATGCTTTGTGTCTTGGCAGTCGTATATTGGAATCACGTCTTCGTCGTCGTCCGAAGACATATTGGTTTCCGGACAAAACTTTTGTTTAAGTGTATGGATTTCTATGAAATTTTACCATAAGGTTTATGACCACAAAAGGAAGGTTGGGATTGATTTTGGGAGTTATGGTTCTTACAGTTCAGGAATTAGGGGCCAAAATGGGGCCCAAATAAGCATTTTTCTAGTTTCCAGACAATAACTTGTGAAATGGTGTATGGATCTCTCTGAAATTATACCACAAGTTACCATATCACAAAGGGATGGTAAGAATTTGCTTTGGGGGGTTAAGGCTCAAACTGTTTAGGAATTAGGGGCAAAAAAGGGGGAAAAACAAGGGTTTCCAGGTAATTGGACAATTACCTAAGTACAAAACATAACTTTAAAGCAGTGTAAGGGATGTAATTCAAACACATATTGTCAAATTACCTCCCTTACACTGCTTGTAAATTATTTATAAAGAAATTTATAGTCTTTAGGTGATTAGCTGTCAATTTATTTTTAGAAGTTACTATTTTAAAAATGTTTAATAAAGGTAATTTTAATATAGACATGATTATGTATCAAAGCATTTTTCTAGTTTCCAGACAGTAACTTCTGATTAAGTGTATGGATCTCTCTAAAATTGTACTACAAGGTTCCATACTACAAAGAAAAGACTGCAATTTAGTTTGATGGTTAATGCTAAAAGGGGGATTCAAAAAGTTTGGGGGGAAGGGGGGGTTTCCTTTTTTTTTTAAAAAGGGTTCATATTTTTTTTTTTAAATTTTCTAAATTTCAAATTTTTGAAAAGTTTCAAGAAATTTTCGATTGCACAGTATTGCGCATTAGATTTGTAAGATCTTTGACCACATTTATTTTGTGTCAGAAACCTATATTATGTCAAAAATTTGATCACAATCCAAATTCAGATAGTACCAAGCTTGAATATTGTGTCCAAATTTGCCCCAACTGTTCAGGGTTTGACCACTGCGGTCGTATCAGGCTGCACTCAGCGAGGCATTTTATTACAGATTGTTCTTATATTTAGTGGTTTCAACAAAGTCCAAGGATATATGGGGGGGGGGGGGGGGATATTGCTCACAAACAGGTTAAACCTGGCTACATTATGTGCCTGTTCCAAACAAGATACCAGGCTTTATGGCTGTAATCCAGTTGTTGTCATTGGTTGCTGTCTGTTATATTTGTTTTTAGTTCTTTGCCATAATATAAATCAGGCTGTTGGTTTTCTCCTTTAATTTGTTTCCAGATTGTCATAACAAAGATAATGGGACCAAACATTTCTGTATTGTAATTGTGTTTTAAGTAGGTCAATGAGATTTCCCTTAGAGGACAACAGAAGTTCTTAGTGTTAGCAAGGATCATAGGACAACAGAAATTATATGTTCAATAAGACTCCCCTAAGTCTGAGTGATTAGAAAATTTATTAATGTAAGTGATTAAAGGCAACATGACTTCCTTGAGATGTTAAAATCATTTCTCAAAGTTAATTATAAGACTTTCTGGAGAGAGGTAAAAAAGTTGTCAGCCTGCACCAGGTCAAATAATTCCGATTTCTAGGTTAGAAGATACCAGTGCATGTGCAAGGGCAATTAGACATCCATAGATGGTAGAAAAATATCTTTTGCACACAAAACTATTAGTCTTCCCTTAAGGCTGACACAAAAGTTCACAATGTAAGCAAGGGCAACTGAACATCCTGTAGAGGGGCAAAAACTCCTCATTGTATGCAATTGGCTGTTATGGACTTCTTTAAGAGTCAGGCCCTCGTTTCACAAAAATCTTACCACTAATTGACTAAAATTAATGGTAAGTCATAAAAACTTCAATATACTTACGACCAATTTTAGTCGTTAGATTTTTTTGGGGAAACACAAGCCTAATACATATATTAGTAGTCAGTGGATTGAAGGGCAGTTAGGACTTCTGTACAAAAGGAAAACAGTTTTTCATTTTAAGCTATTGTAATTATACTGCCCTTCGAGGTGCAAAAACTTTTCATTGCACACAAGCATACCTGTTTGTTGCAAACAGCTTTTTCGAGTTTTCATTTAGTTTGCTAAGTCATGACTTAATTGGTTTTCGAATCATCTAATGACAGAAATTTGTTTTTGATTCAATGCTTCTCAGTTCAATTACATATAAAACATGGGAAATATCTGTTTTATTGGTACTTCCTTGATAGCCAGAAGCTGAAAATAAGTATATGAACTGATAGAAAGAGTTTTAATAGTTTATGTTTGTTTGTTTGTACTTTATTTCATTACTTGGAGCTGTAAAATGCTACATAAAACAAATGACATGGACTCTGGATGACACAGACTTTATTCTGAAGTATTTGATATAAAAGAATTGTTCTGCCTTTATTGAGTGAAATAGCAATAATTTTTATCTCTTAATGATCAGGCTCAGGTGTATTATAGAACAGAAAACCATGAACAGAAGATTAATTTCCAATGCAAAGATTACTTGAACTTTTTTTCTAGTTCATTGGTAGCTTAATAAAGATTTGAAGAAAATTTGTCATTGATTCTTTAGGTGACTGTGCCAGATTGAAGACAAAGTTGAAACTTTTATGACTTTATTTCAGTGTTGTTCTTAAGAATTACAAACATGACTAAGCTCAACATTAAAACTACCAGTAAATTTCACAAGGAAGGACTACCAAAATTTGATTATTCATTTTACTTATACCTTCGAATTTTGATACGTCTAATCAGGTTTCTTCAGCCTTTGGTTGGAATCACAGAAAGTCTGATATTTCCTTCTTCATGAAAGGCTATAGCTAATAAGGTATACTTAAGTATTGAATGACTGAAGCTTAGCTTGAAGTCTCTCATATTGAAATGTCATGTTTACTGTAGATTGCAGTGTTCAATGAAATACAAATCAACTTCTTGTTACAAACATATTGACTTGGATGGAGAGTTGTCTAATTGGCACACATACCACGTAAATAAAATCGAGAATGGAAATGGGGAATGTGTCAAAGAGACAACAATCCGACCAAAGAGCAGAAAACAGCCCAAGGCCACCAATGGGTCTTCAACACAGTGAGAAAATCCCGCACCCGGAGGCTGGCGTCAGCGGGCCCCTAAACAAAAATATGTACTAGTTCAGTGAGAATGGACGTCACGCTAAACTCCCCTTCTTATTCATATAAATTTGTTTCTAGTATTCCTGTCTCCTTGACATTTTATTTAGTGATATAGACTGTGTTCTGATGTATGTTCTCACCCTATGGCAATATAGTGAAAACAATTATCCAATTGATGATAGTTTTAATCTGTAAAATTATACTTATTCCCCTGACAAATGGAGTTGGTGTACTAACTTATTCAGGGCCCTTAAAGCATCCTTGGGCTGCTTATCCTATGCATACACCTACATATAATGAATCTGGATTGAAAAGTGTGGGTTGGCTGGCTGATATTACTATATAAAAATAATAAGATGTATTATGATTGCTATCGAGACAATTATCCATCAGAGAACAAATGAGGTAGAAGTTAGCAACTATAGGTCACTGTACGGCCTTCAACAATAAGCAGAACCAATACAGCATATTAAGCTATATGACTTTTTTTTTGCTCATTTGTCATAAAATAAAACTTGATATAAAAAATTATTGTAGTCTTAATTAGTGTAGCTAATTTCCTCCTAACCAAATACATGACAGTTGTAACAAATAATAAAGCAATTACAATGGGTTCAAAGAGGGATCATTGTACACAGCTCAATACACATCAGTAGGAACAGATTATGGATATAAATCCACAATTTGTACTTTGCAATTAGATAACCCATACTTTTTACACTCACAATTGATATTTTACACTATAATACATTGAGTTCATCTTAATTTGAAAAAAGTGATTTTCATACATGTATAATATGAATTCATAGGCAATTTTAAAATTCTAAAACCTTATTGCACATCTACATGTTATATAAAAGCCTGCAACAAACAATGTAAGAGGACTTTTGTAGGTTTTGATTTTAAAATCTCATGAGGTATAATCTACACTTGCGTTGGTTAGGAAAAGTTCTAAAGATTTACAACTAAATATAGACATGTTATAATATGATTCATAATTTACATTTTTTGATCTGAAAAATTTGTCATCTTTTAATTATATTGTTATGAACTTGTATTAGTATGTATAATGTAACAATCAAAGATGATACAACAACAAACAATGAAAAAATAATCTGGAGACATAATCCACATCAGGAATTCTATATTTAAAAGTTCAAAAGAACTTTTGAACCCCTCAAATAAAATAAACTACAACATTCATCTCAATTGAACAATTGCCTGTACATGTTATTTTACAGAAACAATATTGCATTATCAATAAAAGTCAACAAAAAAAATAATTAAATAAGGAGGTCTGGAAACAAGATCTGGCACAATATTAGTATATTATTTTTTGGCTGGTAAATTTGGATCTTTTACAAACAGCATTATATAAAGATAAAGTCAAGTTACCTCAGGAATAATGACATCTAAATATTTATAAAATGTCTGCCATATACAAAGAAACAGGAGACAAAAACAAAATTACTATTTTACATTTCTGCTTTGAAAATTTAAATTCATGAGTTCTGTTAAAAATTTTTGAGTAAAATTATAAACAATTGGTAGATGATTATCAAATTAGGTTGAATTAATTCATTCTATTTCTGATTATCAAGATATATAACCAAGAAGTCAATATCATGTACCCTAAACACATATGTTGATGCTAATAAAATCTATTTTACCTTCAAGCATGTTTTTTATTCCATCAAGATATGTTGATATGGTATAGTTAGCTGTGATGACAAGAGTTAAAGATTGTAAGCCTTTATATAGCATTTCATGATCAATACAACTGACAAACTTAAATGGATTTCTCCATATTTATCATGATGTGTTTAGTAAAGTTAGTTTTAACATTGTATTTTTTTCAAGAGAACCGTTGCAGTTATTAGCCACATGAGTATAGCACTGTATTTGTATCAGAAAGAACAAACAAGATTTCTGTTTAACAATAATTGCATGTGTACTGAAAGCCATCTAATCTGTACAACAAGGATTCATGAATTTAAAAAAAATGGTTAAGACCTGAGTTATGCAATATATAATTTACTTTTTAAAGTTCTTTGCCAATCTAAAGACATTTTTCAGTTGAAATACACTGCTGGTAAGATGTAGAAGAAGAAAAACCAAGTATGCTACTTAAATTAGTCTTTAGATCTTATATTCCAAAATGGGTTTAAACAAAATTAAACAATGAAGATATCAAATAGACATTAACTGTTTCATACCCAACTATATCAGTCCTATTCAGGACCGATAACTCTGTCGATAAATATTGTCGGGTATACAATGTTGTTGAAATCAGAGCAATTGTATTATATGTCTCTGTTGAAATGTATACAATAACAAATTTTTTTTACACAAGTTTAACTTTATATCGATTTATTGAATGCCTGGATTTTGCTTAAAATATTGAATTAAAAAAATAAATAATAAAATCATATTCAATGAAATCTCGTTTAATTTTTTACGAAATAATACAAAATCCATTTAAATTAAAATTTGAATCAAAATATTTCTTTAAAATAATTATAGAAACATAAATATTAGTTTGATTATCTTTTAAAGCAAAAATTATTTTTTTAAAGATTTTTTTTTATAATATTCATATTTTCTTTAAGTTTATTATGATACATACTTCTTCTGGTTTGACACGGGGAAGAGAAGATATTTATTTGTACAGTTATGAAAACTTTTGTATATCACAAAATTTAAATTCTGGTAATACATGTATACACAGGATGTTTAATGTCACCTGGTTGCTTTTGGTTTGCACGTCTACCTGACAATATATTGTTATGTAACATTACATCCAAAGTCAGAGTTCACCTGTTCGTCAAGTGATGGTATTTTGAAGGTATGGAATATTTATCTATAATAATTGTTGGGATTTTTTTCTCTCTTGGGACGTAAATATTTTTTTGTTCTAAAAGGAATGTATAAATATATTTCTAAAGAAAGATAAATTATACAGAAAACAGGAAAAAAACCTTTTAAAAAAAGAAGAGAAAAAATTTTATTATAAATTTATTGTTAACTATTTTCTGGTAACAGTATATCCTGGATATCTGTCAAAATAAAATGTTCCCGTGTCACACTTAAAATAATATTTTTTTAATCAATAAATTTTGAAATCAATCATATCGAAATATCACCAAAGAAAATAACAGAAACATCAGAGATTCTACATGAAAATTAAATTAAATCAAGGAAAGTCTTACTATACAAATCCTCGATTTGATGCAACATTTCCATATACATCATCCGCCATTTTGAAAAATCCCGAAATATTCACTTTTTTAAATCGATTTTTGACCGAAATTGCCCAGAAATTAAACTGTTTTAAATAGTATTTTCCGCCAGATATATGTTTGAATATACTTAATCGAGTTGCAAAGTTTTATTTTTATTAACGGAATTTCTTTATTTGTTATACAAGTAGACATGGGTATCGGTACATTTAGCATTGAGTCAACGGAGAAATAACGAGAAAAAGTACATGTTTTTACGATTCTCCAGTGACAGAATTTAATCAAAAATTAAACTGTTAGGACCAACATTGTTTGATAGAAATATGTTTGAATATCAAGGATTGATTTGCAAAAGTTAGAAAACGGGTCAGGTTCATGATAAAGCTAAACTTTATTGAAGCACCTATGCATTTTATATGGGGCAATATAATACAAAATGGCGGCTAGTATACGTCACAAAAGTCACGTGATGTCTGACTTAGTTGGATATGCTAACAAAATCAAGAAATTTCTTGAATAGAAATTTTTTTTTTTTGGTCAGAGGGATTCAGTTTTAAGGTTAAAATATCCTGCTATTAGCAGTCATTCCCAAAGGCCAGTAAAAATTGGTTTGGTCCAGTTAAGTGATATGCATTACTTAAGACCAAATGCCCAGTAAGATTTTTGATTTTGTCTAAATCATGTGTAAATGTCCTGTTAAAATAGAGTCTGGTCCAGTTAAGAAGAATGGTTTACTGGACCAAATGTCCAGTTGATTTCTCAAAGTCTTGCAGTTGAGAACCACTGTATTAGATCATTGAATTATGCTCTGTTGTCTATTGGTAGTATGGTCTCCGGTAGTGCACAGTTTTATGGATTAAGTCTAAACCTTGTCAAGCCAAAAAGTCTAGAATTGGTAATTACTGCTTTCTTTGCTAAGTGTGTGGCATAAAGGAGTATGAGCAATATTTTGTCAGTTAGGGGTCAAAAATTAAAGACAGGGACTTTTAACATGACTTTCATGAGACTGTTACCTCATAAACCATAAAAGTTAAACTTCTTGCTGAAGGATAAATGCAGTTCAAAATAGGATGCATATTCTTGTCTTGTATATGGTTGAGAGATTGCCTGCTGAGTGTTAAATAAACATCAATCAATCCATCTTTACAGCAGTGCTCTAAATGCCAATCTTAAATTATCAAAAGTTATTAGGAATCTGAAAATTATTGAAGATCTGAGGGAACCACATTCTAATTTATAATTCTGAAGTGAATTTATGTATACCTATATTCAATAGAAATGGATAGATGTGAAATCTAACTACTAATGGCCTGTGTGATTATAATACTTTGAACTGTCTTTGACATTTGAAGATCTGTTAATGCTTTTTTTAATTCTGAAACAGCTTGAAAACATTGTTTGTATGAAGAAAGTTGATAATAAAAATCACCAGGGACATTGTTTCAAGCTGATAGCTATCTTATTGTGGCAGAATCCATAAATTATTAAACATTCAATACAAAAAGCTGATTATTTAGCATCATATTGCTTAATTACTAATTTAGTTCTGTGTGGGAAATCAGACTGCCTGAATATTCAATTGTTCCAATGTAGTTATTTGCTGAAGGTCAGTGAACAAATATAACTATAATCAAATTCTCATAAAGCCCCTGGGGGTTTGTTCTTTATTTAGCATATCCCCATGGACAAAAATGAAGGTATAATAGTTGACCTCCATCTAGCTAATTACATCAGTCAGTGATTCCCACATATCTATTGCAATTATATCAGAACTAGAAATCAAGGCTGCAAAGACATATTACATACACCCCCTGCTTTCAAAGTTTGTTGGGTATAGATAGGAATCAAGCCTGTCTGTCTAAACACTAACTTTTGAGTCCTTTGTTCAATTAATTTAAAACAAATTTTGAACAATTACAATAACAGATTATAATGTATTTTTTTTGCAGCATAAAGGATTTTTTTCTCTCTCCAATGAGTATTTCTAGAATTATGCCCACTGAACTTAGAAATTTTTTAAACAGTTTGCAATCTGTCGACACAACTCCTCCTACATGTTTCATCAAATATTTATAAAAAAACTGAGCACATTGTTAAAGATTTTAACATCTCAATGTACATTTAAGCATGACATCCTGGTCCTTGAACAAATCCCAAATTTCTGCTCTTTGATCTTTGGGATTTTTGTCTCACCTGCGACAAAAGTTGCAGTATGCGAGACATAGGTATTACAATCCAGCTGAAGCAACGGCTTAAACTATTTGTTTAAAGCTCTATATTTCAGAAGGTAGAAGACCTGGATGCTTCATACCTTGTATCAGATACCTTATGTTAAGAAGTTTCCGTCTGTCATATGTCCATTGTCCTTGACCTCATTTTCATGGTTCAGTGACTGCTTGAAAAAGTGTAATTCTCATTTATTATGAGTAATAGGATATTTATACTTGGTATATTTGTTCATTGCAGTGTCTACATGTCCATCAGGTAGGGTTCAACTGACCTCGACCTTATTCCATGGATCAGTGATCAAGGTTAACGTTACATGATCAAGTACCTCAGATACTGTAAGCAATAGTTCAACTATATTTGGTGTATGGAATGATTGTAAGGGGTACATGTCCTACTGACAGGTTTCATCTGACCTCAACCTCTATTTCATGGTTCATTGAACAATGTTAAGTTTTTGTGGTGTGGTCTATATCTTAAATAATATAAGCAATAGGTCAACTATATTTGGTGTATGGAATGATTGTAAGGGGAACATGTCCGACCGACAGGTTTCAACTGACCCTTTCATGGTTCATTGAACAATGTTTAGTTTTTGTGGGTTGGTCTATTTCTCAGATACTATAAGCAATAGGTCAACTATATTTAGTGTATGGAATGATTGTCAGGTGACCTCATTTTCCTGGTTCATTGGTCAATTATAAATTTCTTAATTTTGTCCGTTTATCAGATACTCCTATAAGCAATATAAGACAACTATACTTGGTTTATGGAATGATTGTAAGGTGTACATGTCTGTCTGGCAGGGTTCATATGACCTCGACCTCATTTTCATGGTTCATTGGTCAATGTTACGTTTATGTCATACTTGTAGTAAAACCTTCAGACTTTCAGCATAAATTCAATAATAAGTAAAATAGGTGAGACATTTCAGTGTGTGCACTGTTGTTAATACTATTCAGTATTTACATTGTGGACACCTTAGAGCTTCATCAGATGTTCATGAAACTGTGACATCATAACATTAAGATTTGTATATAAGAAGGGCATTCTGGTCCATTGACAAACTCCAGAGTTATGCCCCCCCCGTTTTTGCCCTTAGAATTTTTTTATGCTATTTTGTATGCTTTTTTGTAGATGCAACTCCTTCTTAAATTTGTACATTGTTAGATCCTAACATGAAGGTGTGCATATAAGTGTCAGTTCTTTTAAGTGGGTGTCAAAGGAGATGTTTCATTATGTTCGAACTCCTCTTTCACTGTTAAGATA